ATAGAAATCGTGTCGGGGCGAGAAAGACAATGTTAGGAGGATATTCACCCCGAAGTTTAGGGGCTGCGATGCGAATCGGGCATGTATCGGCGTGGCCTTGTGGATCTGGCGTCATGTCCCGGAGGTTTCATCAGGGAGCAGATGAGAGGCTTGCATGACTTGCTGAGACAAACCCCCCCCCCTCTCTGTTCATAATGTCGGGGTGGAGTTCAATCTCAATGGCCTCCCTAATGATGGGATCCATATAGCGGGTCTTGGTGGCGAGGACGGAGGTATTCTGAAGCTGAATGCGGTGTCCAAATTCGATGCTGTGTCCAGCCGCGGCTGACTTGTCCGGATGCTCGAGACGGATGTGCCGCCGATGCTCCTTCAACCTCATGTCCACGGAGCGGCTCGTCTGGCCAATATATACCTTCCCGCACTCGCATGGGATACTGTATACACTCGGTGCCCTTAGTCCCAGGCTCTCTTTGACCGGCTGAAGGAAACTGGATAATTTCTTTGGAGGCAGGCCCACTGATTTGATGTTGTGCCGGGACAGCACTCTGCTGATACGGTTGAATATAGTCCCGACATAGGGCAGGAAGGCGACTGAGTCGTGTTTTTAGTCGGGCCGACTGATATTCGAACGACGATTGAGAACTCTGTGGATCTGCCGGTTGTTGTATCCGTTCGGCCTGAAAACGTCCCCCAGGAGTACCAACTCCGCATGTAGGCTCTCATGATCGCATAGAGCTCTAGTCCTGTGAACCAATGTGAGAAAAACACAGCTTTCTGGATTATATTTGCGCCCATCTCGGCTGGAGCCGCGCATGCGCATATGCACAAATTTATCTCCGCCATTCATGACCGTGAGGGTCAAGAAGTCAGAAGAGATGATGAGCATACAACAATTGTGGAATGGTCATTAGCAGGGGAAAACCGAAGAGACCGGGAGAAACACTGCTTCAGTACCACTTAATCTGCTACGTATCTCACATAAAGTCTGTCGGGACTGAACCTGAGGCCCTGCCGTGAAGAAACACCATGTAACGGCTTGAGCCGTCGTAAGGCCAAACAGTGCATCGACGCGAATCGAAATTAAATCTGTCTGAGGAGTGCAATTTGCGAAGTCATCCGCATATGTCCTCCCTTCAAGCGCTCACTTCATGTTCAGGGGGCTCTGCCACTGCTGCAGACTGCGGACGCTACGCCTGCCACGGTTTGCTGCTTTCATTAGCTTTACCCTTGACACACTGAAGATTAGCTGAACATACACACACACCTACCTGAAGCGTGGTGGCTTTGTACAAACATCTCACAACATTTTGAGCGGTTCGGCGATAATTCATTGTGTAATGCCACGTCACTTTAGAGCAGGGGTGGCCAAACTACGTTCAATGAGAAAATAAATCCGTTCCGTGGTTGTGTTCAGATGTTACTGAAGTACAATAACGCTGAGCCGGGTATACTCAGCCGACATGGCGAGCAGACCACGGGCTGGATTCCCGGCAAGGCCTAAAGATTTTACACTTTTCCATAACACAGAGACCGGTTTTGGAGCCCAGTCAAAGGGCTCTGGAGGCCCTTAACCCAGAGGTAAAGAGGCTAAGCCGTGAAGACAACCTGCCATCTCCATTAACATCGAGGGTTAAGAATGGTGCAGATAAATTCTATTCCCTCGCATATCTTCATAGCGTGGTTCTGAATTAATTCAGTACCTCGCCATGAAGGTGTGTGGGGGAGGGGAGCTGCACCTCCAGCATTCTTGAGCTCGGCACTGCATCAAGATGAACGGTCGGATTCACGAAGCCGCCGATTTACCCTCTGGGAAACAGCCACCGCTGCGTGGGGCCCAGAGACGCTCTGGACGCTGTGAAGAAGACAACAATCTTCTTTCCCCTACCTAATCATGTCTATTACTTTTTCCTTATCTGTCCGTCCGTCTAAGCGGTCTAGAAAACCTACTAAATTAACGGTCGTGAGGATTCGTTGCGCTGACCACGCCACATTCTCTATCCACTAAAGTTGGCACTAACTTCGCCGACAAGCAGCGGTCGCTCGGTCGGTATAGTCCGCTTGCGGAATAAAACAACGGAGTTTGTTTTTTCGTTCTGTATGTCCGTCTAAGTGCCTGCTTGTAACCGTCCGATAACCGTTTACAGGTTTTTGCAAGAAACTTCGAACTTAATTTTTTTTTACTAAACGTTGTTGATATACCCCAGTTTGGGTTAAAAGCGGACAGTAACAACGGGCAGCTTACAATGAGCTACACACACAACTAGGCGCGTCTCCAGCCTAACTCGCTAAACACTCAGAGGAGCTATAAACAGACTCTAAAGGATTCTGGCGGTGGCGTATAACACTCAGAATTACGGGCGTTTCGGATTTGTCCATCGTCAGGTATTCTAAAGAACTAGAGAACACAATGTTTCGGAAACTGGATCTGTTTCGGTCTGCAGATGAGGGAGAGACACCTACTGTTGAGTTCCATACAAAAACCTAACCTTAATCACGACGAACAAAGTCAAGAAACCCTGTCATTCGGAGACAGAAATGATTGTAACAAAAGTTGTAGGGATAAATAAAACGTACGACGTCTTTCGGTTTTCACAATTAAACAGGAGTACAAAGCGCCACAGTTGTTACACTGCGCTTACATTCCTAACTTGTGATCTTCTCTTGCATAATTACTTACTCATGGAGCTGAGCTCTTCTTGAGAAGCCAAATCTGCAGCTACTGAAGAATTTCACAGCATTTTATGGAACCCGAATGTTCATTACCGTGTTCACAAGCGTCTTCCACTGGTCCCTATCCTGAGCCAGATCAATTCAATCCATACCATCCCATCCCAGCTCTCTAAGATCCATTTTAATTTTGTCCACCCACCTGCGCCTTGGTCTTCCCAGTGGTCTCTTTTCTTCTGACTTTCCCACCAATATCCTATATGCATTCCTTGCTCCCCCATTAGTGCTACATGCCTTGCCCACCTCATCCTCCTTGACTTGATCATTCTAATTATACTTGGAGAAGAGTACAAGTTATGAAGCTCCTCTTTATGCAGTTTTCTCCAACCTCCTGTCACTTCAGCTCTCTTCGGTCCAAATATTCTCAACTCCCTGTTCTCAAACACCCGCAGTCTATGTTCCTCCCTTAATATCAGAGATCAGGTTCGCACCCATACAGAACCACAGGCAAAATCATAATTTTGTATGTTCTAATCTTTATGTTCTTGGACAACAGACGAGAAGACAGAAGGTTCTGGACTGAATGGTATGTTCGGTGGGACCCTTGTCACCACGGCATGGCGTGTCCTCAGGTTGCTGATGGAGCAGTCGCCCTTCAGGTATGGAGGGAAGCTGCAAATATATTGAATAAGAAGTCGCGGACAGCCGACAAGAGGTGGTCCTCCAGCTTGGGGGTTGTGCGTGGGGCTAACAACTCCTCATCGTAAAATATAAGCTTGTTACGAAAATTCTTAAGAAGCCTCGGACCTGGACGGATTTATATATTTAAGAGCATCGTATAGGATACAAAAAAACGAGATGACATGTCATCAAAATCCGGGCCCTGCTGGTAACTGTGCAAACCGCGTTTCAAATTTTTGCAATATAGTGCACTGTATACTAATCAAGGCCGAAGTAAAAATTAATGTATGTTAAAATAAAATATATTTCTCCTGTCATTCGCTCTACAGTGCCACACCCGTGCCTGCAAGAAATTAACATCGCGACAAACTGGGACGGAAAATTCAACGGCGCATCTTGAAATATCCCGCCTGGGGTGCAAGTTTCAGGATTGGTCCGTGTTCCCCCTTAACCAGCCAACAATAACAGAAAGATCTAAGAAATAACAGAACTCCAAAATAGAATCGTAAAAATAGAATCTCCCCATTCAAACAAAACAAATATAATCCAATGTACGAGATGTCAACAGTACAGCCATACAGGAACATACTGCAATAAGCCATACGGCGGCCCACATAACACGACAGACTGCAAGAAGACAAGGGAAACACCAGTCAGACCGAGCCAGACGCGCACTATACGGAAGAAACCACCCCGCAAATTACAGACGATGCGAACACTTTTGTAAGCCAACCAAAGGTACCAGCAGAAGTTTTTCCCAAAGACCCTCCACTCCAGAAATCTACACAAATGAATTCTACACGATAAATATACAACCTCTAGAAATAACCCAACCCACAAGCTACGCAGAAATCACAAAGCGAAATTTATCACAAACACAAGAAACAACCAACATACTAGCAAAATTCCTAGATGAATTAAAAAATGTAATTCAACAATTATTACAACAAAATACTATGATACTAAACATGCTAACAACACTCGTCAACAAGGCGAAATAAATGGCGAAATTCCTATGAATAGCCCAATGGAACGCCAATGGACTTCCAAATCATCAAGAAGATATAAAAATATATTTCTAAACATAAACTCAATCGACATCCTACTAATCAGCGAAACCCACTTCATCAGCAGAAGCTACTTCAATATCCCCAAATACAAGATTTACCACACAAACCACGCCGCACTGCAATCCTAATCAAAGAAAAAATCGAAAATTATGAACTACCAAAATATGAAAAACACTGACGTAACAGAAGTCATCATAGAAAACAGCACCAAGTACTACAATAAACTAGAAAATCACTCCAACCCACTTCTTCAACCTCATGAAAATCGAAGACTCAAAAGAAGCCGGCCATCAGATCTAACGAACTGAGGAAAGTATCACTGGATGTGTATCCCGCACACGCAATGAAGAGTGTACAATAAATAGTTATTAAACTGTACACCAGTCAGCACATGGACTTACAGATTGTACAGTCTGATTGTCAATAAGCGAGAATAAAAAAAATCTAGGTTTTTGTTCTAGGATGTCACTACACTAAATTTGACCTATCGGTTCAAGAGTAAATATTTGTTTGGGGTCAGCTTGTTCAGCCAATACAGCGGCCATACGTGTAGAATCATAGCAGCGTATTTGATGTCCTTACCTGCACACAATATGATAGGACTGCTGTCTTCACTCGCTAGGGCGAGCATGAGCGCACTGCTTCACTTCCTCCCAACCAACAGAACTGTGTGCTGTACGCAGACAACAAGCAGATATGTCTTTTCCTGTTCATCACGTGTCCGGAGCACATCCTCCGCCCAGCAGTGAGATAACTCACAGTGAGACGTCATTGGAGACCGTAACTTGGGCGCGGTTCTTCTTCCGATGCTTTGTTTGCGATTGCGATATCTCGATGACCTTGATGGTTTTAACAAAACATCAAATTAGCTGTTGGAAAGTGAGTACAGTTACAAAAGGCTCACCGCAGCTGGTACACAAAATTATCTCAAGTTTTGACGTGCGGCGGTCCTTCTCTGCTGGGTTATGGAACCGTGCAGTCTTGTAAGTGAACACCGATATTTTAGATGATAGGTCTCCGTTTACTTCCCCCCGTCCCGTGCATCTTGGAACGTACGTTCGCTCGTCCGTCCCTTCGCATGGAACATCCCCTAGAAAGGCTGAATGGATTTTCATTAAATCCGATACTGTAGAGTTTAACTGAATTTTGTTAATTAAGTTCTTACTAGACAGACAGCGTTTCCGCTCACATTTGGAGCACAATCGGTCACAGTGTGGGAATATGAACCCAGGGCCATTCGGATTAAAGGAGGAATGCTATCCACTTGACTTTGAAGTTAGGTTGCCTAATCTACATGACTATGATAAGCCTCCTTTTTGACATCGCTAGTAGGCGCAAAAGGTATTGCAATGTACAGACGAATAGGGGTAATAATAATAATAATAATAAGAAGAAGAAGAAGAAGAAGAAGAAGAAGAACAATAATAATAATAATAACAACAGAGCTGATCACCTCAACTAGTCAACAGCGTAGAGACATACATACCAATGTGGCACACATAAACAAGATAATAAGTAACAAATATCTCTGATGTTCCGTCTTACACGCAACACTTTCCAAAATTTTGTTTAAAAGTTACTACATATATATAATGTTTCTTTTGAACTTATTTTGAAAACCACATTGTCCACTACATGTTTCGACCTACATTGGTCATCATCAGGACGTGTAGTGCAGTCACACAGTTTCTTTAAATGTGTGGGTGATGAAGAATGAAAACACTGAAGTATCTTAACTTAGGAAACAATTCATCTTGATTATACTGAAAATGCAGTATAGCAATTTTGACAAGTCGGGCAGTTGCCTGGGGATGGTCGAGTGCGGCCGAAACACGTAGCAATTTTTATATTTAATTTTTAACTTTAAATGTTTAATTTTAAGTAAAGGAGTAATCGCAAATAAAGTTGCATTTAAGATGGAAGGCAATATGTATAAGGAATTAAAGGAAATCTCCAAATTTCTCAGTACGGCTAATTTCGTAGGATCTCTAACATTATTTTATGACACGTTTAGTGCAGTGTAGATAAGAAATTTTATGATATATTGACTCAATAGGGCGATTCCTCCTGCACACACATAGACATTACTTCAGCACGCCAGGCGGGAATTCATTGAAATACAAAGTAATTGTAGCCAATGCTGTTGTTTCTTTATGACTTGAAGATGGTAAGGCAAGTGTTTTTATGCATCTTCATTTGTTTTAATTTGAGCAAATGGCTGAATTGAACACAACATTCTTACCAATATGCTCTCAAATTACTTACGTACAGTAGTCACTATGGACTGTCAGTCACGGTAGCCCAACTTTCTAAGGCATGCACTGCCTTCGCTTGCTCGGAAGCTGGGATAGTGGGTTCGAATCACACTCAGGGCATATCTGTTTAGTGCTTGTGTGTATGTGTGTGCATTTTTCTGTGTTTGTGTACAGGTAGAGAACTTGCGACGAGCTGATCACCCGCTCAAGGAGTCCTACCGAATGTCTGAGTTCCAGTAAACCGAAGTGAAACGGAGAGTGTCATGGAGGTAGTGCAAGGCCAAAATTTTGTCTGTAGCGCCAAAGAAAAAAAAAAGTAGGGACTGGAATTATGATTCCTAAAGACCTAGGCTGGTTGCAGCATTTCGTATGTTGCAGAATAGAAACTGGAAACAGGCACTGCTGTCAAGCGTTGAGATGTAAGCAGTCAGCTCGTTAGGCTCTTTTCACACTATACGGTTTTGACCGCACGGCAAAAACTCGAACGGAGAAAATCCGAATGGGCATCACGTTCACATTATACTGTTTATGCACGGCTTTTTTCCATCACAAGCTCAGTGTGGTTAAGTGGTGTGCTGTTTGATTATAATGATTCGTAAACAAATTATTGCATTATGGTTATATAATCATCGACGAAAGAGACGACAACGCAAACGTCAAGTTTGGGTGCATCCTATCAATGAAAGGAGAGAGAAAGTGGGCTTATTATATACCTTATTTGAGGATCTACGGAGAGATGAAAATAAGTTTTTCAATTATTTTCGAATGTCCATTGCCTCCTTTGATGAATTATACGAAAAACTCAAGGATGCCCTTCAGCGCCAAAACACACAATTTCTGACGTCGGAAGTGTACCATGGCAAATGGCAAAAATATAAACTTAAATTAATAAACTGTAGCTAAACTAAATTAAGCTTTAAAAAAGTGTTTTTGTACACTGATTATATATTTAAAGAAAATAAATGCAATACCTATGTATAAATAATAGTATTAGTCAAAATTTACTTACCAAAAGCATTTTTATCCTTGGCATCAAGAGTATCAAAATCTGGGAGTAGTTCTACGCAAACTTCATGCCAGGCATCTTTCGTAGCATTTCTATCTTTGTAATTGTCAAGAAATTTGTCCCACAGTACAGGTCTGGCTTCCACNAATAATAAGCCCGCTTTCTCTCTCCTTTCATTGATAGGATGCACCCAAACTTGACGTTTGCGTTGTCGTCTCTTTCGTCGATGATTATATAACCATAATGCAATAATTTGTTTACGAATCATTATAATCAAACAGCACACCACTCAACCACACTGAGCTTGTGATGGAAAAAAGCCGTGCATAAACAGTATAATGTGAACGTGATGCCCATTCGGATTTTCTCCGTTCGAGTTTTTGCCGTGCGGTCAAAACCGTATAGTGTGAAAAGAGCCTTACACTGAACCCTTCACTTGTCCCTAGTGACATATTGGCAAGACATGCAGGTTGCTTTCATGGCAGGGGACAAAAGGATATGAAAGCTGCAGCTGGACGAATTTTAAAGGACGGGTGGACAGTGTAAGAGGCCTCCAAGGAATACAAGATTCCACTCCCAACACTCTTAAGGAAAGGCTGTTGATTTCACCTTCAGCGAAGAATGTGCCAATTTTGAAAAAGGGTATTCCGTTTAATTTGATCTCTGAAGAAGACGCTGCGCCGATCACAGTGGGCGCGCGGTCTAAGGCGGCATGAACTGTCTTCGCCCGCTCAAACACTGGGATTGTGGGTTCGAATCCTACTTGAGGCAAGGATGTCTGTTGTTTTTGTTCATTCTGTGTTTGTGCTGTCCTGTGTGCAGGTGGCGGCCTTGCGACGGGCTGATCCCCCGTCCAAGGAGTTCTTCCTACTGTGTAAGAGATCAACAAAGGGCTGTATATATATATATAAAGATAGATAGATAGATAGATAGATAGATAGATAGATAGATAGATAGATAGATAGATAGATAGATAGATAGATAGATNCTGATAGTACGCACCAGTACCGGTAGGGTATGGCGACAGTAGAAATTAAAGGGGGACGCACAATGGACCAATAACTGGTCTAAGTGCATGGGGAAACCCATCCCCTATAATAATAATAATAATAATACCCTGGTCCTCGAGGTTGGTGGTTGGACATGAGGCCAACAACCTCATCCTGTAAAAAGAATTTTGTTCAGAAACCTAACAGTCAGCCTCGGATAAGTGGAACATATGGGAAACAGACTAAGCAGAGGGCAAGGAACAGTGATATTGCGATGGCAACTTGGAATGTACGCACAATGCTGCAACCCGGAAAGATGCAGGAAGTAGCCCAAGAAATGATAAGCCACAAAACTGACGTTATGGCAGTGCAAGAAATAAAATGGCAAGGAACCAGCAGCATATATAAGCCAGAATCTGCTATAATATGCAGTGGGTCACAGGAAAGAACGGGACAGTTTCGTACAAGGTTTATGATAACAAGAAAAATAAAAGAAAGCATGCAGGAATATGAAACAATTAATGACAGAATCTGTAAGTTAAGAATGAAAGGGAGACATAGAAATATCACAATAATATCAGTACATGCTCCAACAGAAGAAAGAGATTGAAAGAGAGAAAGAATATTTCTATGAATGTTTAGAGGAAACGTATCATAAAATTGAGAAGTACGACTTAGTAATAATAATGGGAGACTTCAACGCAAGGGTAAGGGAAAAAGAGTACCAAAAGAAAGCGGCAAGAAAGTACACAATACACGATATCAGTAATGAAAGTGGGCACTCACTAGGAGAGTTCCCTACCAGAAATGGGTTGCAGATAAAAAGCACAACATTTCCGCACAAAAGCATACACCTAGGAACATTGAAAATACCGGTCAACTTAACCAAAGAGACCATGACCTGGTACCGTTAAGGCGCTCTACCTCAGTAACAGACGCGGAGAGCAGCAGAGGGCCCACCTGTGGTACAGACCGTTACTTAGAATGAATTGCTAGTACACAGAAGGTGGAAAAAGTGAAGCCAAAGAAGTGGGATGTACAAAACTACAAGGAAACAAAACAAGAATATCAGAGGAAATAAGAGAATTCAAAGAAGAAGGAAACGCAGAGGATAGAAAAATGAATAACAGAAGTATCAGATGAGAAAGTAGGCAAAGAAGGAAATGAACATAATAAAGTACGGTTCGATGAAAAGTGTGCAAAGGTAATATCAGAGAAGAACAATGCTAGAAAAATAATGTTACAAAGAGAAGCAAGAAAACACTCTGAAAGTTATCAAGAATTAAGAAGGAAAGCAAATAGAATGTGTAAGAAATAGAAAAATGAAAGAATGAGGAAACAATTAGAGGAAGAAAATAAATTTAAAGATGAGAATGAGAGAAGAAAATTTTATAGGGCAATAGATAACCTAATAAGAAAGGATT